CGATCTATTTATATCGATATAAATTAAATTCGATATATTGATCTAAACCGGAAAGTGTTTAAAAATATTCGCCGTTTCCGTAAAGAGTTAGCGTCCGTAATACACGTGTATGGAGAATTAAAGGTTGGAATAAGTTGAAAATAAAAATTTAGGTATTTAAGTTTAAAAATGGGAAGACCGGGTAAGTAATGGTTACTTTGATATTAATCTTATATTTAATTCTTTACACAATAAAGATCTTTGTAATTTTTGTAATTTTTATAATTTAATGCGTAAATATATTACTTATTTTACATTTACGTGATATAGTTGATAATTTTATAAGATACGTATATTTATTGCTTTAGATACAATCAATTACTTTTGATATAAATATATAAACCATTCAGTCAGGTAAATAGTATTTTGCATGTTTATATGATAGTCTTCTTTTAACCTGTTTTCATATGCTTCAATCTATATATACGAATAATTATAAAAGGAATCTATAATATATATCGTCTGATGATGTGGAAACATTGAATATGTTGAAACAATTTAAAAAATAACAAATTATATAGAAAATGTTCGTATATATTGTGTATTTGCATTATAAAATTTATTTTATTACAGGATTTTCACCAAGTGGAGGTGGTGGATTTAGAGGTGGTAGAGGAGGTGGAGGAAGAGGAGGTGGTGGTCGAGGAGGTGGTGGAGGAACTGGAGGAAGAGGAGGTGGTGGTCGAGGAGGTAGTGGTGGAAGAGGTGGTGGAAGAGGTGGAGGCACTCCACGTGGACGTGGTGGAAGTAGAGGAGGAAGAGGAGGACGTGGTGGAGGTGGTTTCAGAGGTGGCAAAACTGTTATCATAGAACCACATCGCCATGAAGGAGTTTTTATAGCTAGAGGGAAGGAAGATGCTTTAGTTACTTTAAATTTAGTACCAGGTTCAGAAGTATATGGTGAGAAGAGGATAAGTGTGGAGGTACACAAATAAACTGCAAATTTATGATGTAATTTATAGAACATATAGTAATACTTTGTACATTACAGGGAGAAAATACTGGTGAAAAAATTGAATACAGAGTTTGGAACCCTTTCAGATCAAAATTAGCTGCAGCTATATTAGGAGGTGTAGATCAAATTCATATGCATCCTGGAAGCAAAGTTTTATATTTAGGTGCTGCATCTGGAACTACAGTGTCACATGTAGCAGATGTTGTTGGCCCAGTAAGTTTATTTAAATACTTCTTCAGTATATATAAAAGTTAGTATGCATACATTAGAGCCAATTTAGTGTATTATTGCTAATTTGGTGTCGACGTTATGCTATAGAAATTACCTGTTTTTTTTATTGAGTAAAATATATTATGTCTTGCTCTAAAAAACATGTGTACAAGCATCAACAGTTTATTGTTCTGATTAATATTTTCTTTGTATAATTACAAATTATTTCTTTCATCTTATAATACATTTCTGTTCTTTTTTTATTTTAGGAAGGACTAGTGTATGCTGTTGAATTTTCCCATAGGTCTGGTAGAGATCTTATAAATGTTGCCAAAAAACGGACAAATATTATTCCCATAATTGAAGATGCAAGGCATCCTCACAAATACAGAATGCTTGTTGGAATGGTGGATACAATATTTGCCGACGTGGCACAACCTGATCAAGCTAGAATAGTAACTTTAAATGCTCAATATTTCTTGAAAAATGGAGGCCATTTTGTTATTTCTATTAAGGCAAGTTTACTAATTAGTATTTTAAAACAGTTCAAATTTTGAGTATGAATTGTTCATGCATTTAAGCTCATACAGAAAATTTTTGTTCTCTTAGGCAAGTTGTATAGATTCCACAGCCCAACCTGAAGCAGTATTTGCCGCAGAAGTAAAGAAACTGATTGCTGATAAAATGAAACCACAAGAACAAATTACATTGGAGCCATATGAAAGAGATCACGCTGTTGTTGTTGGTGTTTTTAGGCCGCCACCTAAAAAGGCTACTTAAAATTTTATATATATATATGTATGCTCTGCATAATTATTAACATTAAATCATAACTGACCATGATCCTTAGAATGTATGCAATATGTTGTAATTGCGAATGAGAAGACGAAAATAATCTGTAATATAATGTAAACTAGGCAATTATTACACAGATAATTCAAATGTTTCCTACAAAAAGAATTAATTTCACTATTGTACCTGTACACAGTTGGTATGTGGAAAAAGATGTGCATGTACGATTGTCTAATACGAAATTTATATTTTAAATATTACATACAATGACTTCACTGATACTTTCATACAAATAAAAATATAATAATCATAATAACACAAATACAGTTTATTTATTTAAACTAGATATATTACCTATTTAGTTGTATTGCATATAATACAACTTTAATAAACATATTTTGTATATTTCAATGCTCGAAAAACAAAAGAAAGTTACAGTAACATCTATACATCTTTTCATTTAGATAAACTTATCAAAATCAAATTTCAAAATTCATATGTAAATTGACTAGTTAATTTGTCTTATAATTATACTAATTATCATTATGTTACACATTCACTAACTAAGTAAAAATGCCTCGTTCACAGTTAAATACATCCAAAAATGGTACGATATATAATCTTTAATACTTCCATGAATGATTAACCACAATTGACAGTAAAAACTTGTAGGATTTGCTGCCGATGAAAATCGTAAATCTTCAAATAAAACGCCTAAGCCTAAGAAGTCAATAACGACACCCGGCCGTAAATCTAGTTCAGTTACGAAAAATCAAGATCGTTTAGTAGGAGGAGCAGATGTACCCGAGGAAAAGGAAAATGAATCTGCGCCAACGGAAGAAATTTTGGAAGAAACTATTATTGAGACAAACGAAAAAGCATCAAGTTTGAAAACGGAAAATGGAAAATCACCTACTCGTACAGGAGGACCATGTTGCACCTGTATGTCACAAATGCCAGGATCTACTGGGTATAAAAATTTCTTTTTCAAAAAATATTTGGAAGGTAATATGATTCATTGATTCATTAATCGACGGAGAATGCCTCGTCTTCTGGAGAAAGCAGTTGCGATAAAAAATTCAAGTTAAATCTAATACACGCTATGATTATTATTATTTTGTATTTGCAGAGATAAGAAGGTGGATGAAATGATCGACTACGTGCATCAAAATTTACAAGAAGCTGGTAAAGCATTGGCCACTTTAAGCGAGAACTTTGAGCATGAGTCAAAGGTTGAGCCCTGTACGCAATAAAACCGTCATGAAATTGGGAATACGAGGGTACAATAATGTCGTTTTATCAAATTGAATAGACGAGTAGATGGAAAACTAAATAAGTGAAACTGTCGTTTAAAAAATCCCAATTTCTCGTATAACATCTAAATAAATATAAAGTGATACATGTAAAGTGAATTTATTTTAAAAAAGTTGATGTTCGCTGATGTGCTTGGTCGAATACAACAATGGAGTGGTTTGGTACAAAAGAAGTTGGACATTTGTCAGAATCAAATCGAAGAGTTGCGTAAGGAACTGATGGCGCGAGCTTGTGAAATCGAAAATTTGAAGAATCAATTGGCAGAATGCGAGGAACACGAGGCAAGTTTGTTAAATTAAAATCTTTAGTCTACTACAATTTTTAAAAGAATGATTTTATTGTAGAAAACAATTGCGTTTACACAAACTACTGCGGCTAGGGACGAAGGTATAACAAATCCAATAGAAGAAAACGTTGAAACGGATCACATGGAAAGAACATTTGAAAATAAAGGAGAAGATAGTAGTAGACGTGAAAGTGAAAAGGCACAAGAATCTGATAAGGTTATAGAAATAGTTTGCACGGACGCAGCTATTCAATCAATTATGAAAGATAAAGAAAGAATTAGGCGAGAAATTGAGGTATAGTAAAGGTTTTTTTTTTTAGTTTTATTTTCGAGTGCAAATGAAATTACATTGAAACGTAACAATTTATCCAAACAGCTTGAAGCTGAAATTGCGAGACTTCGTAAAGAAAACGAGCGTATCATAAAAGAACGTGCAGAATATGAAAATGCGATACAACGAGCATTACTACGCGGTGTTTCATCTTTGAACGTCGAAGCACTGAGGGTTCTGCGTTGTCCACCAATTCCCTGTTGCACTCCTTGTGCTCCTTGTCCTGCTTCTGTTACGTAAGATTCTTAGATCTTACATTTCACGATCGAATCGATATTTAGTATGAAAAATTAGAAAGGAAGACGTGAGTTTTGAAGGTGAATTTATGAACGATTAAAAAAGTTCAACAATAATAGCCCGTGTACCATGCTTAAATAGTTTTTAAATGCTTGTCATTACGAGTCCTTCGGTTCGAAATAAAAAGTGAGCGTTTACTGATCTATATCTAATAAGTAAGGCCAATTCTGACTCATTGAAGTTTCACTCTTAGGGAAACGATTTTGCCGTGTAAGAGGAACGCTAGAATGGCCAAAAGTTGCGTGACTCATCGTACTGGTAACGAAAGAAAAAGTGTTTGCGAAAAAGGTTCCACTACCATCAAACGTTCTTGCGCCAGTCCTTGTTGCTCCGGTGGTAAAAGTCGGAAGTCTGTGTCGAACAGCAGCTTACTCTTTCTACTTCATCAAGGAGATACAGAAAATTTCTGTGCCTCGAATAACACCGCAGTGCCACGAGTTTGCGGTTCACCGGCTATGAAGAAGATTGAAATACCACCGTGTCCTAGATTCAGTAAATAAGGTTCAATATTTTTCGATTGTAGAACAAGTTTTAAAATAGGTGGGTAGCTTCGTCTATGTTGTTCGCAAAGTCGTTATTCATTCATTACAAACGGTTGATTAATATCATGTTCTTAATTTTTAGGGGTAATATGATAATATCCAATGTAAGAAGATCAATTTTACGCTGTTCAAGATTCGCGTGCGTGGTGTACGTCATTATAGTGAAATGTCGCGTATGACGCGTATTTCGTTGATAATTGTATAATTAAAATGCATGTTACGAGGAGGAAGGAAAAGTGTACATTAAGAAGAATGTTAAGTAGTCTTCACGTAACGATGGAAGTGCCTACTTAACGATAAATGTTTTAGCTCTTTTTTGGGGAATTTTTTACTTTTTTAAGGAAATTGATAACTCGTATAAAATTATAGCGGCACAGATTGTTCGAACTTGAAGTTTATCTGTAGTGTTCGATTTTATCACGAAAAATGTAATAAAAAAGACGGTATTGAAAGTATAAATATAACTTTATATAACATCATCAGAAAAATATTATAAATATTAAACATCCATTCTCATAAATAACATTAAGATTTCATTTCATCATTGAATGTTGCAAAATAGAAGTGGAGGCTACAACAAAGGTTGCGCGATACCAGCTGAACCTTATGTGTAATACCTAAAACATCGCAGACAAATAGTAATGCACACATTTCACAGAAGCTCAATGAATGCGTAATTAAATTATAACATTCATATTGTTGAATAATATTGGAAATAATGTCTTAGACCCAATAATGTGTTTCGCATTCACTAATCTTCAAATCTGATTTGTCGAGTTGGTGATTTTCGAAATTGAACCGTGAAATTGAGATTTAATACGGACAATAAACGATGTATTGTTTACATTAAAACATTAAGAAGTAAGATATTACGACGTTCTACCCCTTAAATACTAAACGTAATTACAGTTCTGAACAAAACAATTTCTCCAGAAATTTAGATGCGAAATTATTTTGATTATTTAACGGAATGGGATAACTGTAGTAATTAATTTGATAAGACGAAACTATATATAAATTACACAATGACACAAGTGTACGTTTGAAATTATTTCGGAGACGCGTATCGATAGTAATCATTGTTCGTTCAACAAATTCCATACATTTCAGTTATCAATCTTTTTCTTTTAATTCTTTCTCGCTTTTCGACACACATTGTATGGCTGAAACATTGTGCATCGGAACTTCTGCTTTCTCTCACAGAATTTTTTATACGTTCTTACAAAGAAAAAATTACGGATATAAATATTAATTTTCTATTAAAATCATTTAAATAACAGTAACAGCACTCAAAAGAGATTCAAAAAGTATTAAGTAATTGCGTAATAATAGAATAAAAAAATAAGACCGCGCGGGATATTTCAAAATGCGTTTCACGTTGTAAAACGTATGGCTGTTCACGTTTTACAAGTTCGAAACGATAATGAAATCGAAAGGATTTATCGGTTATTCACCGTGAGCAGTTGCTTTCAAAATATGATACGCTTATCTATGTTTCTCGATCGGCACAATGTATTACGACGTGAACACTTTTCAGTCGTAATATAGAATCTAAAATATGTATTGTCACGAATCACGAGGCCATTGACCGAAAGTGTCCTGGCAATCGTTCAGTTTATGCTGATCGAGAAACCTCGATCTCAGAATTTCCTAATTTCGTTCTCAGAAACGACGCAGTTGCCTGATCAAAAGACGCTTCAAATGTTTTCGCACGTTCCCCGAATATATTAATAACATTACAAAAGTATATGCAAAGTATAACAACAATCGAACGGATAATTACAGCTGGTCCAGCAGCATGGTAATGTTATTGATATATTTTTAGAATCATCGGATTCCTGACGAAGACGTCGCAGCATGCTTTCTCAAGCATATGCGTCGTCGATGAAGTTTTTTCCGAAACGATCCGTAAGTTCTAAACTTTCCCCTCCGATAAAGATCAGCATTTTCTTTCTCCCCTTTCGTTTCATCTTAACAGGGAGAGTGTCACCAGCAATTTGTAGAACTTACGTAAAGTTTTCGCGTGTAACTACCATATTGTCTCTGTGTCATTCGATCAGCAGTTTAAGAACGTCCTGTTCAAAGACGTCTTAGACAACATCGTCCAACTTTGTTAGTCATTCTGTTACGACAGCCGACGGGACTATCTTAACTATACGACAGAGTGTCGTTCAAATGAAATATCATTTTCTGTAACGTTGGCGTGTACGGAATGATGTTCTTCTCAGAAGAAAAAAAAAATTTTTTTTTTTTAAATGAAAAGGAATGTTGCAAAAAAGCACGCCGTTAAATCAACTTCTTTTTTTGTTGGACGCCTTTTGCAGTGAGGTAGCAGTATGATGAAAACGTTGGAACAAGAATCGTGTCGGGGCCGTTGTGTAGATACGATGGTCCCTTGGCCAATAATAACAACATGCCATGATGATCCGAAGAAAGGAGTTTACTTGTTATGGACCAGATTAAGAAATTCCTCGCGTGTCTTCGGATCATCTCGAAAGACGCCAAGCATCGTTGACGTAACTGTTTTGCTATTTATTTTCTGCACTCCCCTCATCACCATGCACATGTGCCTGCAACGTAAAGATAATATATATATGTATATATATTTTTTTTTATTCCATAACTGCTGCTGATACACGATGAATAATTAATTACGTCTCACCGTTAGAATCGAGAGCAATTAATTCATTGTGAATGTTAAATACAGCTTAAGATCTCGCTATAAGCTAACAAGGATAGTGTTATCTAATGTGTACAAGAGTTAAAGATTATTATAATTAAAATGCATTACGACGTACATTGTTAATGAAAGAGTAATTGCATTCGTTGTTCGATGAACATAATGCACGGCCTCGGGGTTACGAAAAGAAGAAAAAATGTATTAGCATTACTAGCTCTCATTATCAGTGCTCATTATTACAAGCTCTCTCAAGGCATCGTTTCACTCTCAGGATCTTAATTACAAACCTATGTCACACCTTTTTTTTCTCTCTCTCTCTCTCTCTCGACGAACCTGTTTTCTGCTTTTAATCGTTCACAAATTGGGCAATCCAATGCCGGCTAACGATTACAGTAATTAGTTGGAATACAAGTGTGATATATTATGCTAATAATCTACGTTGATTGTTAACGATCTCAACTTCATTATGCCATTTGATACGACACCTTACACCCTGTCTACGAGGACTTGGATTGATTTGTTCTGATCCATTTGCAAATTGCACGATGGATCTGTCACGTAAAGGAATAATTATATAAAATTATTGAACGTTACGGTACAAGCTTTTTAAGTCGTGTATGATACATTTCCCGTCAAGAGAGAACGCACTTTAATTCTTTACTAAGAAGTGATAGCACCTTATTAGCACAAGGTCGCATTCTTATGTTGCGATTAGTCCTTGCGAAAACCTATTGCTCAAGTGGCGAATGGTATTGAAACGAAACCAAGGGAGGTATGAAAATACGATTTTCTTCGATACACATTTCTCGTTCTTCGTTCTTCTTTAAAAAAAAAAAAACAACAACAAAATCCAACGAAATACGTACACTCCTTCGACGACCACAGCCACTCCTGCTGGCTGTACCGCTTTTGTCACCGCAACTGCGATCTGTTTCGTGAGACGTTCTTGAACCTGAAGGCGTCGGCTGAAGATCTCCACGATTCTGTGGGACAAGATACAAAAAAAAAAAAGAAAGATTAAAGATTTCTGTTTACTTGTTCGTACAAGGAGGATTTACTTTTACAAGAAAAAAAAAAGGAAGAAAGATAAATTTCTGTGGAACAGACTCTGTATCCTCTCTAATGGAAACTGAGGAAAATGAAAGTTTCGATAAAACGACACCGGCTATAAAACTGAGAAAATCAACCGGTCGCCGCGTCGTTTGAAGGCTAATGTTAAGTTCATAATATTTAACGGGTAAATGGACACTGGCACGGCAGAGCTTAGCGATGCGTGAAAGTGGTTGGCGTGCCAACGGATCAGCACCGCCGTATTCTTTTCTTTCCGTTTTAATATTCCTTCAATCAAGGCCGTAACTACTCTGTCGATGCAATTTGTTATCTGACGGTTGTGAAACACGGCATATCAGCGTAGTTGCCCTGTGATTGCACTTTATCCACACATGTTTTAGAACATTTTATTCATTCACCATGACTGCGTAACACTCTGACCATATATACTCGTAGACAAAGATAAATTTAATTATCATTACACGAATATATATGTGTGTGTGTGTGTGTGTGTGCAGTCTTCGGTTAATTTTGACAAGATTTATTTAGAAATATGGCAAAACATAGTGCGTAATCATCGTGAGACGAGTGTTAATTAAATTCTTCCGTAAATTAAATTGTATTGTAACAATAACATTTTGTTCAATTATACGCGTAAAATAAGTTTCACAACGATTCGGCGAGAGCGATAGTGAATTAGCTTGAGAACGCGCGACGAAAGCGTCACATACGATGGACAGGTTCAATCAAACGATCTAATTGACCGCGAGCAAATAATCTGGCTCCGATTAATTTTCATTTTCACACAGAGGGGTAAGATATTGCCGATCCTTTATTCTACCGCAAACGATTCGAGTTCCGTCTCCTGAGGATTTAATTGCATCCACGTCTACTCGAGTTACCATGTATTTAATCCGATTTCCAATGATGATGCTTTCTCCTAGCCAAGAAAATTCCTCGTTACCTCGCTAATTTGCTGAGACCAAGGATCTTCTTACAGGGAAGGTAACCGATCGAGACCTTCCCGTAAAATGGTACCAAGTGGTGCTCGCACATGGAGAACATCTCGATGTCCTTTACAACAACCATTTCATCGTGATCCTCGTCGAACACCGCGTCATTTATAACATCTGCAAATGAAACGTGAAAATTTGTATATATGTATATGCATATATGTAAATAGAATAATAATAAAACGATAGAAGGAGATACTTTGTTAATAAAACGACGAGTCCAGTGCTAGAAGGACACTATGTTACAATAGTAGCGCTGTGAGATATTAACCCTTTTGACGACCTTACGTCTGCTTATATCACACGATGGAAAAATATAAAAGGTGTTTTTAATAAAACTTGTTTAAAAAATATTTAATATTTAAATATTTATATATTTGAAAAAACTATCTGTTTTTTATAAAATTTATACAATTTTTATATAAAATGAAACCATATAAAGATATGTAAAGTTGGAAGAAAGAATAATAAATTTTGTATTTACAATCTCGCATTATATTAGGTGTAGAAATGAATTTTTTTCGATTAGATTCGCATAATTCATTCGAAGCCACTGAGTTTCTTTCGCGATGGTATTCTCAAGCTGCCGGAGAAATGGCAAAAGGTCATCAAGAATAATGGTAATTATCTCGATGATTGATCTCTTTTCATTCTTTTCAAGTGAAACTTTGTATCCAAAAGTCGGAGAGAATTCATTTCTACACCTAATATTATTAGTGTTCGTTCAATTAAAATTAATTTCGACAAGCTCAGCATTCATGTCTGAGCAAAATACGACCGCAAAGGGTTCAGGCTTTTAGGAAAAGTAGTGTTTCAATAGAAATTGCATAATTAAAACTGCTATTTCTTTGTTTAACCCTTTCGCTACGGCAGATTTTAAGGCGTAACTTGGGTAAATTTTTATCCACCGCTGTATCGTTTAAAATTCGA